GAGGTTCTGCTCGGCCGTCGCCAATTGGGGCGGTTCCCGGTGGAATTTTTTGATGAATTTTTTTGAGCATCTTCTTCATTAAGTCTAGTTTACTCATACCAAATTTCAGCTAAAACTTCAACCGGGAAAGAAGTTAAATGATTTTTTGAAGATAACTGCGCAGTTAAACAGCGCAGTACATTTCGGAAAATTATTTGACTGCCTTCCAGATTTAATTTTTAGCTGAAATTTGATATGGGTAAACTAGACTTAATGAAGAAGATGCTCAAAAAAGTTCATCAAAAAATTCCACCGGGAACCGCCCTAATTGGCGACGGCCGAGCAGAAACTCCTATATAAGGGGCTAATTGAACACTTTAAGTTAGTTCATGTACCTATTTGACCCTTTAGCCTTCTTATAGTATTTAACTTTGGTACTCGAGCAAAGGTCTCAGTATAGTCTATGCCATAGGTTTGTGTATATCCCTTGGTCACCAATCTTGCCTTGTATCATTCAAGGGTTCCATCTGCCTTGAATTTAGGAGTAAAAATTCATCTACATCCCACAGTTGGTTTATTCTTGGGTAACTCTACAATCTGCCATGTCTGATTCCTTTCAAGAGCATTCATCTCTTCCAAAACAGCGTTCTTCCACTCAGGTTTAGATAGAGCTTCCTGTATGGTTAAGGGAATAGTAATAGAGGAAAGACTAGAGGTAAAGGCTGCAAATGACAAGGACAACTGGGAATAAGACACATAGACTGAATTAGGATATCTGACACATGACCTTTTCTCTTTTCTGAGAGCAATTGGTAAGTCAAGATCACTGGAAGTATTACCTTTTTCATTTTCTGTCATTGAGTCAGATTCATGAGCAGTTGCAGGATCAGAGATGTCCTCTATTCTTTGATTTGAAACTCTCCTTTCATAAACTTTGCCAAAAAATTTACCTATCTGCTGCTCATCTTCTTTCCTTGTTTCAGTTATATTTATTTCATTTTCTTCTATTCCTTGGCTATTATCTGATGCATCTAAGTTTTTAGTATGATGTGCATCAAGATTAATGTCAAGAAATTCAAGATTTTCATGGATATGTAATACACTGTTACCATCATCACTTGAATTCTCCCCCTGAAGATGAGTATTAAAAAGGGTTGATTTTCAACAAAAACAGTGTCCATTGTTACAAACATCTTTTTTGTTTTCAGATCAAAACATTTATATCCTTTCTGTGTTGAAGACAGTCCTAAAAAGGCACATTTTCTTCCTTTATGATCAAATTTACTTGCTGTTTTGTCAGGGTTGTGAATAAACACTGTGCAACCAAAAATCTTTAAAGGAAGAGAGCTGATAATTCTGGTTTTAGGAAAACAGGTTTGAAGTGTATCAATAGGAGTTTTAAATCCTAGAGTTTTTGATGGCATCCTATTAATCAAATAGGTGGCATGTAAAACAACATCTCCCCATAAATATTTTGGAACTTTAGTGGAAAACATGATTGCACGAGTGACTTCAAGTAAATGTCTATTTTTCCTCTCAGCTATTCCATTTTGAGCAGGTGTATTTATACAAGAACTTTATTGAATAATCCCCTTTTCACCAAAAAAATTGTTTAAGTTTTGAGAAAAATACTCACGGCCATTATCACTTCTTACCATTTTGATATTGGTATTGAATTGAGTTTGAACCATTGAGTAAAATTTTCTGAAAACATTTTCAACTTCAGATTTCTCTTTAATAAAAAAAACCCATGTTACCCGGGTATGATCATCTATAATCGTTACAAACCATCTTTGTCCTTTCAAGGTAGAAACTCTAGATGTACCCCAAATATCACTATGCACAAGAGTAAAAGGGCTAGTAGGTTTGTAACTATGAGGGATATAAGAATTCTTATGATGTTTTGCCAGTGCACACATATCACAATGAAATGATGAAGGGTCTTTATTATGAAACCACTGAGGAAACAACCTTTTTAAATAGTAAAACTAGGATGACCTAGTCTATAGTGCATTAAATACACTTCATTATTACAAGAAAAAGAAATAGTTTGCAGACAAGTATTTCCTTGACCTTGTTTATTCATTTTAGTTCCTTCATCAAAGACAGAGTCCATCTTCCTCTCTAGCACTACCAATCATCGTCTTTGATGCCAGATCCTGAAAAATGCAATAAGAAGGATAAAATTTGACACAACACTGAAGCTCTTTGGTTAATTTGCTAACAGAGGTAAGATTACAAGAAGGGTTTGGAACATGAAGGACTTTAGAGAGGTTAATAGACGAGGAAATTTTAACATTTCCCATTCCTGCAATGGCTGAAAAAGAGCCATCTGCAACTTTAACTTTTTTATCTCCTGCACACGGGTTATATGAGGAGTAGAATTTTGGAATAGAGGTCATGTGGTCTGTTGCACCTGAGTCAATGACCCAGGTGTTTTTTTGATTTTTCAGAACAAAAATATATATGTAATTTTACCATTTTGGGCAAAAGAACAAGAAGGGGTTTCTTGGTTAAGAATCTTTTGGGTATTTAGAAACTGTAGGAGTTGCTCAATCTGTTCCTTTGTGAAAGTGGGCTGATTGAAGTTGATTTGTTGCTCCTGTTCAGTTTCAGGCATGGTATGTAAAGCTTTTTCAAATTTCTTCTTTCTTGCTCCTGGAGGTTTTCCATGGATCTTCCAGCAAGTTTCCCTTGTATGCCACAGTTTCTTGCAGTGATCACACCATGGTTTCTTTCTTTCATCTCCCTTGACCACCAATGCTGAGGACTCTCCAGTATCATTCTGAGATCCTGGAGTGTTATTCATAATCCTTTTCCTGCTTTCTTCAATCCTGATTTCAGAGAATACCTCTGATTGAAGGCAAAGGTTTCTTTCCCAAAATCCTTCCCTTCACTTCATCAAAGCTTTGAGTAACTCCTACTAGGAACATATGATTGAGTAACTTCAATCATTTTCTTCCTTTTTTTTTGTGCTTGGCCAGATCTTTTGCACTTTCCCATTCATCATCATAGTATTGATCCAACTCCTGCCATAGAGACACCATTTCATTGAAGTAGGTGGTGACATCTCTATCTTCTTGTTTGGACTGCCAGAGAATGGTTTTTAATTCAAAATTTTGAGAAGAATTTTCAAGGTCTGAGTAAGTTTCTTTTATGGAATCCCAGACCTCTTTTGTTGTCTTCATAAACATATGAGATTTTGCAATTGAGGCTTCCATGGAGCTGAGAAGCCAGGCTGTTACAAGTGAATTTTCTGACCTCCATGTACTGTAGCCTTCCTCCCCAGGATGTTTTGGTTTGATTTCTCCCTTGAGGTAGCCCAATTTTTCCCTCCCATCAATTGCGAGCTTGACAGATTGAGACCATTCCAAATAGTTTTTCCATTCAATCTATGGCTAGTGATTAACATAGATGAATGGATAGGAGACTGGTAATTTGTCATAGGGCTAATTTGGGAGGTAGGGTTGCTAGTGTGATGAATCAGAATCATTGGTTTCTACCATCGTTTTGTTTAAACCAAGGCTCTGATACCATGTAAGTTTTAGGAATAAAACTTCCTTAATTATGATGAGCCATACGGCCAGAATATATATACAGAGTACACACAACAAACTCCCTGTGCAGATCCTAAAAAATAGGATCTATGTAACTGCAGTACTTATCTGCTAATAAATGCAGTCTAACAACTCTATTTTATCTACACAACTACATACGTACACAATCTAATAATAAATAATAAATGTAACATTTTCTACAAATTCTATCAAAGATTCAATTACTTCACAACTAAATTTTATGGGAAAAATAGTCATCAGGACTATTGTTCTATGGGAATACGTTACAAGGTTCCATCAGCGGAAAACGAATCATCCCAATTTCAGCAAATCGGTACTCTAGACCATTATATCAGCCAATTTATTGGCATGTACCAAGGGCTTACCTTCCCATGCAAGCAAACTTCTTTATAGCTATACTTCAAGATGACATTCGTTTGACATTGCTATGTCACTATCCCGGCAGCATGGATGTGGTGACAATCAATTTGGTAGAAGATATTGAGTGAAGGCAACAAACACTCACAAGTCACAATGTGATTCTCAATCTATGCCAACAACAGCTCCGGTGCCCACATTACCGGAAGCTCCTCCACCAAAATTCCAATTTCTTTCTGTGTGGTCATCAGCCTCTCCATGACTCCCACTGGATAAGCAGTCATTCTTATCGACACCACCGCTAACATTGTGACTGCCAACACAGCAAGACCTGTCACAACAAGCCGATCTATCACTATCAACAACCGTGGCGGACCCACTAAGAATCCCACGGGGTCCCGGGACCCCACAGACCTCCAAAAAAAATCTTATATATATTATATATATGATATAAAATTTACCTATAAGTGTATATATAGAAAAAGAACCAGTAGAGGTATCAAATTACGGAACGGTGGAGCAGTAGCTGGGGCGAATTGAAGGTTACCATTTTCTGGATATACAGGGTTCAATTCCCGCAGACGCCTATTTTTTGTTTTTGTTTTAACTTTATTAGTTTTTAAAATCCCTAGACCTCAATTGCGCACCTCCACAGCAAACATCTTCCTCATTCAAAGCTGGACAGTCCACGGCTCCACAAAACCATGACTTCGGCAACCTGTATCCATGCTATGGCAGCACCACCCCGACTACCATCAGTCCATCACAGATTCAGTGATTGAGTGATCGGATTCCGAGTCCATCACAGATTCAGAGTCCAAGATTTGCCGCTGCTTAGAAGACAAACCTCGAAGAATACAAGAGCTTCAAGAGTTCATGGCTTTTTTTGAGAGTTCAGGGATTAAAAAACAATGATAAACGATCATTAAAAACAGACTCCCCAAACATTTTGATGCACAATGACATTTGTCTTTGAACACGGATATCACCAGTTCAATTCCAGTCTCAAAAGCGTTGCCAATATTATTGAATGTTCAGACTAAGTTATTAAATTTATGAATGTTTTTTCAATATTTTATTATTCAGGATGAAAAGATATTTTGATAGTATACCCAGATTTGCAATGGAACCAAAGATTCACAATTCTTTGGTTTGAGAATATGATGGAATAAAGCAAAATGGTTCACTAAACTATCTGCGCTTCTTTATTGTGAAGTAGCAGTTAGTTACCTTAAAAATGGCCGTTACAACCTCAGGATCGTGATTCCCTTTTAAGGTAATTGGTGGCAAAAAATGTAAATTTATTTCAATTTGTAATTTTGTGCGTTATGACTATCTTAATAATTTGATGATGTATGTTAACTATGAAACGTTATGCTACTTTACTATTTTACTTTTTTTATTAAATTTTTATTATTTAGAGTTACAATAAGGTAGGGACCCCATGAGTCTAATTTTTCTGGGTCCGCCACTGATCAACAATACTCTTTCTGTCACCACCAGTGGGGCTGGATCACTATCAACAGCACTCTTGCTGTCACCAGTGGAGCTAGATTACTATCAACAACAATCTTACTGTCACCAGTGGGGCTGAGACCACCACTGTTGGCACCTTCATCTTTGCCTATTGCATAATGACTACCCACACCAAGTTGCAAGAGATAATATGGACCTTCATTGCAAGAGGAGATTTTGATGAATCTGGGCTATTAAGACATTGGGCCATTACTTGTGGTCATGCATCTACAACCTACACGGAGATTAATGATTATATAATAATACTGTTTGGTTGTGGAACGACTGGCTGCCATTGGTTATTAACTTCAAGGTTGAGGATAAGCTTGATGCTTGATGTTATAGAGTGGAGAAGTGAATGGACAAACTGGAGGACATACTACTATAATAATCACATTATTATTAGATGTAGTTTCCTATTAGTATAGATATTCTATTTTAGTTGACGTTCCTAATAAAAGTATTGTAGTTGAATTAGATTTACTCTAATACTAGATTGCCAACTCTTGGGACTAGGTAATAGAGGTGCTATATTAAATTGATAAGACCATCAATTTTCCGGAGAAAGAATTCTTCTTGTGTGCTTGGTGGAACCGACAGACACTTCCTTGCCGAGGGGGAGAAACTGCATCATTTTTTCAATTGCCATACAATTCGATCTATTTTTATCATCTCATAGTAATGCCCGTAACACCCAGCTTGTTGCAATTGTGTTTTCTTTTAGGAGTTCTATTAGAGACCAGGTAGTAATATCATCCAATTGAGACCAGGTAGTAATATCAGTCAATTGACCAATAGACTTGGAGAATTTGATAGTAATGCAGCCACACACAATGTTCTCCTTAGATGAAAAAAAAGAAACAGTCAACCTATTAGTCTCTCTGTGGTAACATTATAACAAGTTGAATAAATGAAATTCAGTAACTTGAGTTGAGTAAACAGGAAGTTGGACCGACAAATCTAGTTTTGTAATGGATACATGTTCAGTTACTAGTTGAGTAAATGAGCTGATGGATTTGCTTTCTTCTTGTGCCACAGGGAATATGGCTTTGTGAGCACCGGGATGAGGCTACCCCACGCAGAATTGTCATTACCCTTAATGGCATATAGGTATATGAGGTGCAAAACGCCAGAGGCCGTTTGTATGGGATCCACCCACCACTCTTGATACACGAGGTCCGAGACATAGTTCATACCCCGGATAAGGAATTATCTAGTGTGTACTCATCTACTGCATGTTAAATCTCACCAGAGATATAGTACAAATTGAACCTTGTATATTGGTCCCGGTTCTTGTGTTGGTTCCGGGTCTTTAGCTTGTGTAAAAAGAATGATAATTGAGACGGGAAGTCTGAAATTGAAATCCGAACCGGTACTATTTAGAGGAACTGGTACTAATTTCAGCTGGTTACTAAACAAGTGACTAGTATTGGTCCGGTTACAAAAATTTCAATTAAAATTTATTGTATGAGTGATGATGTTTTTACTTGGACTGTAATTTGTTGCTCACGTCTAGTCTATTTAAGTCTACTCTGGTCTGTTTAAGTCTGATATGGTCTAAAGTCTAAACTGGTCTAGTTTGATAAACATTTGGGCCCTGTGTATTTTATAACTATGGAAGTCAAGTCTGGTCTGTTTAAGTTTGGTCTGGCACTGAAAATAGTCGAAGTAAACACATCCTAATTGAGTGATAAGATTTTGAGTCCAAGATTTGCCGCTGCTTGGAAGACAAACCTTGAAGAATACAAGAGCTTCAAGAGTTCATGGATTTTTTTGAGAGTTTAGGGATTAAAAAACAATAATAAACGAATAAACGATCATTAAAAACAGACTGCCCAAACATTGTACGATGACATTTAACTTTGAACACGGATATCACCAGTTCAATTCCGGTCCCAAAAGCGTTGCCAATATTATTGAATGGATACATTAAACAGGTTACGTGTTGACAATGAAAAAAAACATTTCTCGATAGACATGTAGGAATGTAAATTTGTAAATTTTTTATTTTAAATCAGCTTGATACTAGATTACTAGTGCCCATATAAAATAAACATTAGCCGCACTCCGGCACTCGAGCATATGGACTTGGTGGCCAGCAGCAGCATAAAGCGGGTGTCAAGATATGATGAACAAACAACATAAGTAACCATGAGTAATGATACCAGTTAGACTATGCAACTATGCAAGCGGCCCAAATTAAAGAAAAAATTCTTACATGAAGGCAACTGAGGAAGGTTATATGAGATGTATTTGATAAGAACCGTTCGCAATCCACAATATACAATAGGAACAGTAAACAATCCACAAACTTCATTAATGGCGATATACAATACAATAGTCCCAAAGCTAGAGATAAGACTCTAACTTCCCAGTCCCAAGCCAAGCATCTAACAGACTGCCTAACTGCTAACTGGTTTATTCTATTTATAGCCCCCCACTCCTTATTAAAAGTAGTTACTAGTTCATAACCACTACCCGCCTGCCAAACAGATAAACTACTTCTTCTTTCTAGAATAGACTAAACCATATCTATTCTTATTTATAATAGCCGGAGTCCTATCAATACTCCCCCCCAAAGAAACAAGTTTGTCCTCAAGCTTGAAGTCTGGAAACTGTGTCTTCAACACATGAACATCTTCCCAAGACCTTTCAAATTCTGGCAGATCTTCCCAATGTATCAAAACTTCAACTCTACCATCCGTTCCCTCCCTGGTATCCATCACCTTCTCTGGCTTCACCAACAATTCCTAGTTTTCACTCAAACATTTAGGCAATGGTTGACAGCAAGTATTGGAAGCTAGAACCTTTTTCAGCAAAGAAATATGGAATACTGGATGGATCAGGCAATCATCTGGCAATTTCAATTTAAAAGCTACAACATTCACTTTCTCAATGATCTCAAAAGGTCCATAAAACCTTGGACTCAATTTCTGATTGATTCTCTTAGCCAAACTCTGCAGCTTATAGGGCTGAATCTTCAGGAAAACTTTTTCACCCACCTCCAACTTCATTTCCCTCCTATGTTTGTCTGCTTGCTGCTTCATCTTATTCTGGGCACTAGCTAAATTTTCTTTGATTTCAGCTAACATTCCATTCCTCTCAGCTGTCAGTCTTGCCACTTCATCATTAGCAGTCATAACCACATCCCCTTTTATAATTGGTTGAGGTTCTTGCCCATATAAGGCCTGGTAAGGGGTTTGTTTTAAGGAAATATGGTAATTAGTATTGTACCAATACTCTGCCCAAGGTAACCACCTGTTCCATTCCTTAGGTTTCTTCCCTGTGATACATCTCAGATAGGTTTCTAAACACCTATTCACCACCTCCGTTTGGCCATCTGATTGAGGGTGATACGCAGTACTGTATCTCAACTGTGTGCCAGCCAGTTTGAATAACTCAGACCAAAAGGAACTCAAGAAAATGCTGTCTCTATCACTCACTATGGATTTTGGAAAGGGAAAAGGGCCAAAATGGACACTGAGGTTTTTAATGAAGAGCGTATTGGACATTAAGGTTTTTTTGAGATCAAATAAACATCAAATTAAACTTTTCAGACCTCATCGCCCACCCCCTAACATTTCCCGTTAACATCTTCTCTTCCCCGTTATCACCCTGCGATTAGACCTAATTGATATATACCTAATAAATACAATCTGAGACAGATTATGAAGAAGAAAGCAGTGATGTCGGCTAGTCCTTCAGCATCGAGGTCGTCTGAGGCACGGAAATCTGAGTCCGGTGATTCAGTGAAGCTTCGAAGCATCTATGAGCGACCGTATTCTGGGCGTTCTAGGTTTTGCAGATGCATGAATGCAAATGGAACTCGCGTCAAGGCGCCACTTTGGACTTCATGGACTGACAAGAATCCAGGGAGAAGATTTCATGGATGTCCTAATTATGAGGTATGCTTTTAATTGTTCTTTTCACATATGAGAACTGGAGAAGATCATGAATATGTATAATTTATTTATATTCATATTGATATTCATACTCTTGTGTATACTCAGAAGGATGGATGTGGCTTCTTTGAATGGCATGATGAGCCATTAACGGACAGAGCAAGGCATGTTATCAATGAGCTGAAACGGGAGAATAGGAGGCTCCAATCTGCAATGTTTGAATTGGAATGTGATAGTGTTGCTCAAAAGTTGGAGAGTGAACTTGAAGAAGTCAACAGTATGAATGATGCAGCCCATCTGGAATTGGAAAGCAAAACTAAAATGAAGAATAATTATGTTATTGTAGTGTTGTTATGTGTCCTTATTGTAGTATTATGTGTGTTAGTATGTTAGTTTCAGTTTCTTGTAAAATGGTTTGGTTATGACCTTGTAAACAGTTTGAAAAAATGTTGCTGTAAACAGTGTTGACCTTGTAACACTTTGGTTATTGTAGTGTTGTTATGGTCTGGTTGAATAAACAACATATATAAACAAAAAAAGATGTTATATCATAACTTCACATCATTAGGGATCATAATATTGATTGTTAATGAGGTTACAAAATACAAAAAAAGCATTATAAGCCCTAATTTAGCACCCCATAATTGCAGTCAGTTCCTTAGATTGCCAGAAGTACTAAAACTTCATACAAAACATCTAAACTTCCAGTGAGTCTTCAAACGACTACATTGCCAAAAAACTAATAAGCTAATAAATACAAAGTGCCCAAAAGTGTTCTAATGAAACATATGAGTCTTCATTCATCCATATTTGCATCCAAAAGTGTTCTAATGAAACATAAGAGTCTTCATTCATCACTTTGGAATGGAACCCGACCTCCTGATCTGCATCTTCTGTAACAACTGCTTAGAGCTGATTGCTGCATTCCCATTCCATTGCAAACCAAGTGGTTGAAAAGGTAGGTTTGTTGGATTATGCACCTCTGTACCATCACCCTTGAAAGGTATTGTTCTATATGTTGGGACATCCAACTGCTTCTCAGCCCGGGCAGCTCCTCTTATATCTTTTTCATTTGGGATTGCAAATCTGACTGTAACATCAGGGTCATGTGGCATTTCAGGCTGGAAATCTGAAACTATTTCCTCACTGCTCATCCCAGGCTACAAGCATAAACAAGTACATGAAGGTAAAATTAGAAATAAGAAAACTTATTTCAATACAACAACAAACTAAACCACTTACATAACACTGGAAACCTATTGATACTCACATTTAAAGTCTTCTCCCCAGTGTTCACATCCACATGGCACCCAAAGCCTGTTACAGATTGTTTACTTATCTTCCTTCCTATTCTTCTACATGTCACTTTAGACTTACCCGTACTCCTTTTAGCATTAGTGTGTGGATTTGTTGGTGGAGTTGATTCTGTAGTGGTAGGAATTGCTGAAAAAGCAACACTAGCAGGTCTCTTCACAGGTATAGGTCCATTCCCTTCTGCTCCTTGAACACTTGCCTAAGAAACAGATAAAAAAAGTCATGAAAACACAATAAATCAATATTGCAGTTTACATCTTCAAAGTCATGTACTACTTACATCTTTATCTTTATTAGAACATGTAGCTCTCTTATGGCCCTCCTTATGGCATATCCCACAAGTTTGTAGTCTCCCTTTTCTTGATGATGTCTGAGGTGTAGCACTGGCAGATGTAGAAGCACTTCCAGATCCTTTGACCTCAGTAGATGATCTAACCCTGTTCTTCTTTGGTCTGCCAGGTGAGGGGGAGGTAAAATGGGTTCATAATCATCAACCTTCATGAAAGCTTTTCCAGGTACCGGTTGCAAAGCATTTGCATATGCTGCCATATAAGTCTCCTTATGATACCATCTTGAAATGTAGGTGATAGGATCTACCTTCCTATAATAGAAAGCACATATGGCATGTAAGCATGGTATTCCAGTCAGTTCCCATGCTCTACAAGTGCAGACCATCTTATCCAACACAACTGTGTGCTTATCTGTCCCCTCTCCAATCTCAAACCCCACATCCCCATTAAATATAACATTGCAACCACTAGCAGCCTCCTTATTGTCTTGATAGTACTCCATGCATAAGGGAGACCAATCGTTTATCCACTTATCATGATTTGTCTTGAACTCTGAAATTCTTTTCATTGCCTTCAATCGTATATCTTCCAGCATGGTTACAATAGGTTTTGACCTAGCTTCCCGGATCCATGAATTGAAGGACTCTGTGATGTTATTATCAACCATCCAACATGAACACCTATTACTAAAGTATGCTCTACACCAAGTTTGAACTGGATACTTCAAAAGGTCAGAAGCAGCTTCAGTGCTCAATTTTCCAAGCTTTTTAAGATTCAGCTGCAGCTCTTCTTCATATGTGCTCCAGGAACATATCCAAAACTTTTTGCAAAACTCATTGCCTCTCCATTTTTTTGACCAATTAGCATACACATGTCGGGCACAGAACCTATGCTCTGCATCTGGAATGACCTCTTGAGCAGCACTAATCAGCCCCTTTTGCATATCAGAAATAAGTGTTAACTCACCACCAGTATTCAGGTGTAGCTCCTGAACAAGCCAACTCAAAAACCACCTCCAATTAGACTTATTCTCTTTATCAATGACAGCCCATGCTATAGGGACCATCTGCCCATTTCCATCCAACCCCACTGCACTCAGCAGATTACCCTTACAAACACCCTTTAGAAAGCAACCATCCACACCAATGATTCTTCTACAGCCAGCCAGCCAGTTCTACCTCAAAGCAGCAAAGCATACAAACATTCTCTTGAATACTCTCCTCCCTTCTTTCAATGCTTCACTGCAGAGTTCAATTTCAGCTTTTGAACCTGGATTACTCCTCTTTAATGTGGCAGCATATGCTTCTAGGTACCCAAACTCAGCCTTATAACTACCATCCATTTCTTGAATAATCAACCTTTTAGCCCTTTTACATTTATACAAGCTAACATTTATCTTCAACTTCTTCTCTGCCTCCTCTTTCATGTCAGCAACTCGAAAGCTAGGATTTCTCTCCAGGTGCCCTTTAAAGTAATTTGCAAGCCACTTTTGAGTAGCACTAGGAATAGAATAGTGTCGGAAACACTTGTGCTCAGTGTTACAAATCTTCACTGCCAACCCATAGTTCTTCCCATCTTGAGAAATCCATAATCTAAATGGGCAGCCTTCCTCATTCAAACATTTAACAACCAGTCTATTCTTCTCATTTGGTTTGATTTTCAGCTTGTAACCATATTTCACACCATAATTAGCAATTGCAGTCCTAGCCTCTTCAGCATCTGCAAAGGTCATTCCATTCATAAAACAATCCGACCCATCTGTTGCATTGTAATTGATTGTACCATCATTATCAGAGGATGGATCAGAATTGTTGCTCTCTTCATCTTCTGAGCCTCTATTTGATTCTTCATCTGTAACATACCCATTTGGGACACCACTTGTATTCACTTCATCACTTTGGTCTCTCCAATCTGTATTGGCAGACTCATCACCCACCCCACCATCATTCTCATCACCAATGTCATGGTTACCAATTTCAGAAAATGAACCTTCTATCAGGGGAATCAAAATGGGTTCGTCCAGTTGATGGTCAGCATATAACTCTATAGTATCAATCCAAGAAAATCTCCTTATACGATTTAACACTTTCCTTATAGTGTCATCATCCTGAACTAAGAAAAGTCCATTGTCCAAATCCTTTCCAGGTTCTAAAACATATATATTTTTCAGTGTTTTAAACCCCAAGTCATCCTTGTATTTTCTTGAAATGTCATGATAACACATATAATCAGGGTCAAACCCATAAACTGTATCAGCATCCCCATTCACATACTGTAACTTTGGTTTCATAACCCACCTCCCGCTATGGTTAAATCTGAGATTAACCAACCCATTCATTGTAACAAACTAAAACAACACTCAAAGATTACCTCAGATTAGTCGTACGTATTGTAACCTTGGTCGTGCAGTTGAACACCTTCTAATCTTCTCAACTCACTCGCACAATCTCACACTTATTAGCCATGGAAGTGAGTTAGGGTTAGAAATTTCAATTAGGGAGATTGTAATCGCAGGGTGATAACGGGGAAGAGAAGATGTTAACGGGAAATGTTAGGGGGTGGGCGATGAGGTCTGAAAAGTTTAATTTGATGTTTATTTGATCTCAAAAAAACCTTAATGTCCAATACGCTCTTCATTAAAAACCTCAGTGTCCATTTTGGCCCTTTTCCCTTTTGGAAATCCATGGAGTCTAACTATTTCTTTGACAAAGATTTCAGCAACTCCTTTAGCATTAAAGGGATGAGACAAAGCTATAAAATGTGCAAATTTGGTTAGTCTGTCAACCACAACCAGGATAGTGTCTTTCCCTTGAGCTTTTGGCAATCCACCATTAAAATCCATGCTTATATCTGTCCAAATGCAATCTGGAATAGGTAACGGTTGTAACAACCCCGCAGGTTTCAAAGCTTGATACTTGTTTCTTTGACAAACCTCACAATTCTGCACATATTGCTGAATCTGCTTCCTCATACCAACCCAGTAGAACAGTGTGGAGATCCTCTTCATAGTTCTGAAATTGCCAGAATGTCCTCCTGTTGCAGAATCATGATATTCCAGAAGAATCCTTGTCACTCTAGGGGAATTTTGGGGTATCATCAGCCTTCCCTTGTAGTATAACAACCCTTTCTTCAATCTGAAATCCACCATTTCATCCGGATGACTTAGAATCTTCTGAATAGTATCAGCACACTTTGGATCTTCCAACCGTTCATCTTCTAATCCTTCCCATTCCTGGCAATTTACAATTGATAAGGCTGACAAATTTGATTTCCTTGACAGAGCATCTGCAGCTTTATTCTCACATCCAGGTTTATATTTAATGATAAAATTGTATCCCATAAGCTTGGCAATCCACTTTTGTTGATCCTCTCCCATGATTCTTTGCTCAGTCAAGTATTTGAGACTTCTTTGATCAGTGTGAACCTCAAATTTCCTGCCCAGTAAGTAGGGCCTCCATTTTTGGATTGCAAACACAATTGCCATCAACTCTTTTTCATAAACAGATTTACTCAAATGTTTAGGTGCTAATTCCTTGCTAAACAATGCAATGGGACCCCCATCTTGCATAAGTACTGCCCCTAACCCCGTTCCAGATGCATCAGTTTCTACTACAAAAACTTTATTGAAGTCAGGGATTCTCAACACTGGTAAAGAAGACATAGCATTCTTCTATTGCACAAAAGCTTTTGTAGCCATATCACTCCATTTAAACCCATCCTTCTTCAACAATTGTGTTAATGGAGCAGCAATGTGACTATAGCCCTTGACAAACCTCCTGTAGTAAGACCCAAAAACCCCCTTAAATCCTTTAAATCTTTTGGTACACCCCATTCTACCATGGCTTTAGTTTTACTAGGGTCAGCTGCCACCCCCTCTGCAGAAATAATATGACCCAAATAACTCAGTTGCTCCTGACCAAAGGAACATTTCTTTTGATTGGCTACTAAATCATTCTTCTTTAAAGCTTCCAGGACTAATTCGAGGTGTTCTTTATGATCCTCCTTGGTTTTTCTGTAAACCAGTATATCATCAAAGAATTCTAATGCAAATTTCCTGAGAAAAGGTCTCAAAACCTCATTCATTAGAGCCTGAAAAGTGGAAGGTGCATTAGTCAACCCAAATGGCATGACTAGGTACTCGTAATGACCTTCATGTGTTCTGAAAGCAGTCTTACAGGTATCACTCTCCTTCATTCTGATTTGGTGGTAACCTGACTTCAGATCTAGTTTAGAAAAAACCACTGCTCCTCCCAATTCATCTAGTAATTCTTCTATAACTGGTATGGGAAACTTATCAGGTATAGTGATCTTATTCAGGGCTCTATAATCACCACAAAATCGCCAACCACCATCTTTTTTTCTAGCCAATAAGATAGGACTGTTGCAGGGATTGTTGTTGTGCTTAATGATACCTGTTTTTAACATTTCACCAATTACTTTCTCTATCTCATTTTTCTGATCAAAAGTGTACATGTAGGGCCTCAGATTTGGTATACTAGCTCCTTCTTGGATGTTTATGGCATGATCACAGTCTCTAGTAGGAGGAAATTTCAACTGATCAGTAAACACCTCTGGAAATTCAGCAATGATGTCCTTCCAAACCTTGGCTTCCTTAGTATTCTGTTCCAAACCATACAACTGCCCTCCATAATAAAGAAAATATCCATCCCCTTCTTTCTGCAGAATCTGAAGCATAGTCTTCATTGGAACCTCCCAATTATTCAGTGCAGCTTCCCCTTGGATACAATTTATCCTATCTTGTTGTTTCCATCTTATTACTTGTTTCTGAAAGTTCACTTCCATGTCTCCCAACTCAGTCAACCATGCCATACCCAAAACAATATATGTGCCCCCCCAATTCCAGTATATAGTATGATTGATGTATGGTATTTCCTTGCACTTCCAGCTTCATTCCATCACATCTGCCATTATTATGTATGAGATCCCCATTGCCAATCTGCACTTTCACTCCTTGTATAGGCATAAAAGGTACTCCCCATCTGTCAATGAAACCCTGCGCTATGAAATTGTGTGTTGCCCCACTGTCAATCAGAATGTTCACAGTTTGTTTCCCATCATCCCAGCTCAACACACCTTGCACCTTGAATGTTTTCATGGATGGAATACCCTCCTTACTTAAAACAGAAAGTTGCATTGTTTTAAGTTATTTGTGAGTATCTTCCTCTTCTCCCCCTTCCATTAATTCTCCTTCAGATTCATCTTCCCCTTCAGAATGCTCCACTAGAATCATCTTACAGTTCTTCATTTTACAGATATGACCCTTGCCCCAGTCCTCTCCACATTTGAAACACAAACCTCTCCTACTTCTTTCCTGCAAGTCACTCCTGGATAACCTGGGACCTGATTTACTCATATTAGGTGCCTTAATGTCAGTATTGCTTCTGTAATCTGATTGACTCTTTGGCAGGTTAGGGTTACTGTTCGGAATACTTTTCCATCTGCTTCCCTCTCCCCAAATAGCTTGAGAATTTGAGCCATTGTTCTTACTTAGCCCCTTTTTCTTCCCTTCCTCTCTGTTCTTCATCAACATTGCTTCATTATTTTTGTTCTCAATAAGAGAAGCCTGGCCCATGAGTTCAGCTAAGGTTCTTGTAGTATACAACTTCAGCTCAGCCCTGATATCTCTTCTCAGTCCCTTAAGAAACACACCTTTCAGAACCTCCTCGGTTAGATGTCCCTGGGAAGCTATGGCGGTTTCAAACTTATCTCTGTACTCTTTCATAGTTCCTCTTTGCTTTAAGCTGAACAACGGTCCTAACGGATCTTGTACCAGCTCTGGTTGAAAGCGTGTAGTCAAATCCTTTGTAAATGTCTCCCAATTCATATGGCGAGTCTGACCTTCCCACCATTGGAACCAGCTAAGTGCCTGGTCCTCCATTGCCAGAACTGCCAGGTCAATTTTGTTACGTTCATCAGTCTGATTCAACCTGAAGTAACGATCCATCCTCATCAACCAACCAAAGGCATCCTCTCCGTTGAAAATCGGTAAATCGATTTTCCTTCCAGCTTTATTAGGATTTCGATGTTGATTATGGCGCTCGCGATCCTGATACGAGCCAGAGTGATCGGAATGTGTTTCAGAACCTTCCGAACTATCATCACGCTTCGTGTGTTTCCTCTGTGATGATCGACGCGAAGAGTTCGAATGGTACGAACGACTTCGTGATCTATCCGAGTTTCTGTTCTGCATTTCCGCTAGATTAACTTGCATCGTGGCCAAAGCGGTAGTGAAATTTGACTGCATCTCCCTCAAATTTCTCTCCAAGCTAGCTTGCATCTCCCGTTGGCTCCTTTCTATTTCCGTCAATCTGATTTCCATCTTTGCGCGCGTCACGGTCATCCAGCGATCAAACACGCTCTGATACCAATGATAAGAACCGTTCGCAATCCACAATATACAATACGAACAGGAAACAATCCACAAACTTCATTAATGGCGGTATACAATACAATAGTCCCAAAGCTAGAGATAAGACTCTAACTTCCCAGTCCCAAGCCAAGCATCTAACAGACTGCCTAACTGCTAACTGGTTTATTCTATTTATAGCCCCCCACTCCTTATTAAAAGTAGTTACTAGTTCATAACCACTACCCGCCTGCCAAACAGATAAACTACTTCTTCTTTCTAGAATAGACTAAACCATATCTATTCTTATTTATAATAGCCGGAGTCCTATCAGTATTCAATGGTAGATGAATAGGCAAACTCTACAATAATAATTTTCTCTGAAATAAATAAATGCGAATGACCAAACTCTAATATAACGTAAATCCCAATTCAAAATACAAGGTAGACCCTCACCATCACAAGTTCCAGAAGCTCCTATCATCCAAGGATTTGAACTTGGATGCTTTAAAATGAATATAGGGCTCCACTTGGACCAAGAGACATCGAGTAAAACTCCAAACACCAAAGGCGCTCAAATCAAACTATGTTCACTCCTTTCGACCTCCTCCGTAGCTCATTTGTAGTACCGACACCAGCCTATCCTTCAAAAATGTTACAACTGGAATTCACCACCCAACACTCCTTTTCTCCATACAAAACCGCCCGAACATTGCCCCAAAAGAGGAAAGATGAAGGTTTGGTCATCATGATGCCAAAATATTAACAGATGCTGCAAGTTCAGCCAGTTGCCTGCCTTGAAGCTTGGAGACAAGTTCAGCTGATATGAAATGTTTAGGTAGGGTAGTTAACTCTTCTTCTTGAAAACCATATATCGGTTGAAGTTTTCTTGCTTCAGAAACTGCTGCTTCAGCCTCCTCCAGCAAAGCATCTGCCTCTTCAAGGTCACCCAACTCTAAAGCAAGTGATCTCTCTTCTCTGCAAGCTCTGTCAACTAAAATTAGCCTCTGGAATCTAGCCATAGCCAATTCTCTCTCCTTTTCTGAAACTTGCTCTTCAGTTTCTTGCAGTCTCTCAACGATAAGGCAAATCTCTTCTTCAACTTTCTTGACCTCTGATTCTGCACCTTCCAATTTGGTTTGTATTCCATCCTTTTCCATACACAATTCCTTCGCCTCTGTTGACAGGCGTGCTGCTTCCTTGAAATTTCTTGCAGCAGCAGCCACCTTTTTCTCTGCCTCGAGCTCTGGAACTCTCTTGTCTATAAAAAGAAACCTCTGCTTTGAGGAATCAATATCTTGCTGGATCTTTGACTTTGATGATGATAGTTCCTACAATAACAAAGATTGATACACAGATCAACTTGTGCTGAGAGATGATGGATATAGAGAGATAAGCGGGGAACAGCAGCTGATTCAGCCTTTTACACTTACATGCATATTATGTTGGGAATTCTGATTACACAAGTGCATAAATTACTGGATAGTATATTTCTTCTTTTACATGTGGATTCTATTGTAGTCTATTCCCTTCAGTTGTAAAACTAGTGGATCATTGATATCTATTAATCTATCCATACCATTTTACTGCAAATAGGCCCTTTTATTTTTATATTTACATATTTCCTCCAGCACTTCATATGATAATTGCGCCGTCTAGTTAGGGTGGTAAAGAACTATGTGATAGATTCTATTCAGGAGAGACTCCTATTTGAACATGTGCGATATATGTGCAGCTCAAAGGTACAACCATGAAGAGCAAGACCCCACATAGGCTTGTATGGGTGGTGTCAAGACAACCACTTTTCAGTTCAATGAACAAGGGGTGTTTTTTACTGGGAAGAGTGAGATGCAATCTAGAAAACCGAAGTTACTAACAGTGGTATATTTACTTGGACAGCAGATCATGATTCATTATTAGTGCAAGATGATCTGCAGTGGAGAGAGAAAAATTAGGAAAATAGTTTGATATGGTAAAAATCCTATAAGACGGCGTGAGATATGGTAAAAATCCTATAAGAAAGAGGTAAAACCAGGTAACCATCAGCTTTAACATATTAAGTTGCTGTGCATACCTGAGATTGTGAGATACAATGTACTTTATAGTGTTTCATGCCACCTTCTGTGAATAATTTTTTACTGGTCTAGGAACCAAGACAGTAACAAGGCAAAATTTGGTCTTAGAAGGAACACATGGAGATGAGTAGTTTGAAGAGACTAGGAAAACTCAGTGTGTGGAAATGTGGAATTCTGTTTAAAAATGTCGAGTAAGAATGACCACCAAATAGGTGGGGCACTCTGGCACTAATTGTCTCTTGAAAAGAAATTTAAAAATACTTAACTGACCTGAAGTGATGTTCTTGCAGCAGAAATTTGCTGTTGGAGCATTTGGATTTGGATTGCATGTTCATCCTCATTTGTAGAAAGCCTAACTCTATCCTCCTTGGATTTCAAAACAAACTGAGCCAGACTCTGACGTAACCCAACAACTTCTGTAAACATGTTTGCTTCATCTGCTGAAATTCTAGAGAGATCCCTTATCTTTGCTTTCCTAGATTCCTCCAGGGAAACAGAATAATCAATCTCTTTCTGCTTCACCAATAGAGATTCATTTTCTAAGAGAAGTTCAGACAGTCCAGATTGCAGATTCTGATATTTTTCATTAATACGAGTTTGGGCTTCTTGAGAGCTAGACATCACATAGTCAATCCTTCTGTCAACTTTTTCAATGAGAGAATCATTTTCTGCTATTTCTTCTTCCTTCGCTTTCACTAAAGCAAGCAGTTGTTTCAGCTCCTCCATTAACACTTCTTTTTTCTTGCAAAGAATATTTCTCTGTCTTCGGTCATCCTCAACATATTGCTCTATGGAATCCTTCAGAACCTTTTGCGCCTCAAGCACCAATTCAGCTTCAATCTCCAATTCCATCTTTTGGACCTCTCTTGCTTCAGCGGACAACTCCCACTCCTGCATCTGTTTGGATGACAATCCTTCTGCAGTTGTTACATCCAATTCTGCATCACATATGGCATCCTGAGAGAAAAAATAATTCTCTTTTGTATCAAACTAATGCAACTATCGAAAAATGAACACATAGGAAAGCTATCTTGAGTGCACACAGAGCTTCTCGCAAATCCAGTAAACTGCAACTAAGCTTGAGTTATGCAGTTCTGTAATGGAGTCAGTAGCCAAGGTGTGTGAACATGATATTCTTGAAGCATGACATAGCATCACATATTCATTTACACACCAAAAAACACTAGAATGATGTACATACTCCATATTTAAATTTGATCCTAAAAGCTTATAGCAAAACCATCATTCAATTGGAAATTTGATTATCATAACGAACTGACCAATGCAAAGCTCTGCAACATAGAGGCGCATTCTTCCTCAACATGAATTAGCGAGTCAAGAGCCTCCTGCATCTTAGAGTCAACAGCACTGCACTGGGCTTCAGCATCTCTGAGATCAACTGTCAGCCGTTCTTTTTCCTTCTCAGCCAAAGCTAAACTCTCACTAACTCTTTCAGCTTTATCAAAGTCTTCAGCCTCACAGGCTTCATCCAGCTTCTTCTCTAGCTCTTTATACTCGGCATATGCTTGAGTTACATTCCGGGCAGCTTTTCTCCTTTTCCTAATCGATTCCTTCTTCTCTGAAGATATGGAAGCTACAGTCTCACTGGCCATTTTAAGCTTACTAGAAATGAGGATCTTAAGTTGTTCAAATCTGAACTCAAGTGGGTTATGACTCTTGTTACAATTTAATTGCTCAGATGTTACATCTTCACCAACTCCACACGAACTCAGGCTAGCCGCCTTATGGGAAACTGCGTCATCATTAGAATGAATGCTTTGAGGTGTTTTTTGAGAATCGCATTCGTGAGCGGCAGAGATCATGGTGGAGTCGTGCTGTTCACCTTCTTGAGCAGCATAACTGTCTACTTCTTCTAGTTCTTCTTCATGCCCTTTTTCCTTCCCCTCCTTTGAATGATCGCCGGGAGGAGAAGTGGTTAGGACTGAACCGGAGTCATAATATCTATTCCTACCATATCCAATTCTTAAACCAGCTCTCTTCTTCTTCCGGGTAGTAGAATTCTGGCGAGAAAGTGCCGAGTTTGAAGATGGATCGGGTGGGGACTTGAAATCCTCTAGTTCTGGGGATCTTGGGGGAGTGACAAGTGTAAGATCAGAGAACAGGTTCTCATCGAGCGGCTGAATATGATTTGATTCGGCCGGAACTTGAATAGGTGGGACAGCCGGTTGAGCTGCTCCGATATTAACAGCGGCAGCTATGTCTGAGCCCCGGCGGTCTAGATGTCCAATCCCGACGTCGTCGATATCCGGATCTCCAGACACCATTTCAGAAGGATCGAACAGGACCATCCCCTCAAACAGTGAGTCCATTTCATCATTCTCTTCCATTTCGGATCTCTATCACTCCCCTCCTCCTCTTCTTTGTGTGCTAAATAAATACGGAGTACCATCTAAGCCGCCTTAGCGCTTCTCAACGCAGGCAGATAAAAGGCGAAATAAAGGCTAAGTTTTCTGCTCCCTCCCTCAGATTAAACTTTCAGGACTTTCCTTTTTTTTATTTTGACACTTTCTAGTAAAATAATCCATTTATATTTTAATTTTTTGATAATTTTTTCATTTAAAATTATTCAATTATCAATATTTTCAAATCGATGTCAAAAAAATATGAGTTCTTACTACCATTATAAGATTGTTAGAAATACACGAATCTGACATAAATTTGACAAAAAATTGAGCCGAGTTAAAAAATTGAGTTATTAACTATATCATAAACATAATGAAATCTCTACTCCAAAATGAGTAATTTTAATGAAATCCAAAATTTCAGCCAAAGAATTTATAATAGTGAGGGAGGAAAATCATATTTTAAACAAAAAACGGATGAGGGGAGGGGGGTGGGGGGGGGGGGGGGGGGGGAGAAGGACGAGAACGAGGAGAAGGGGAAAAGAAGAAAGTAAGAGAAAACTTCGAAATTCAAACAGGTATTGAAAAGTCAAACGACGATGGTGGAACCGGTGACGTTAAGAGCATCGGCAAAGTCGATAGGGAGACAGCGACAAAGAGAAATCGAGACACAATGGAGAGAACCATGGAGAAAGACGAGGAGCTTAAAATGCACTAGTAGGATTATATGTTCCTTGGGCCTATCAGGCACACATAAGTAAGGACCAGTAATTTCCTCGAATGTATCAAGCACACAGAAGTTAGGATCGTGCATTTGATGGGGAAGTTCCATCTGAACTACGATGATGGTGAGTTAGGGAGACAGTGAAACGGAAGATGGATAGTTAGGAGGAGAACAAAGAAATGATAATGTCAAACAACAACAATGGCAATAATATAATTTTGGTAATTCTAGCACATTTTATTTGAAATCTAATGCACCTTTAACGCACACTAGTGCACTATATGTATAAAACAATGCACTTTTGACACATTGAACTTTAAAGAAATTTCTCTAGATAAGAGTAAAAAGTTTGTGAAATCCAAAATATGATTAATATGTTTTTATTTTCTAAAATAAGAGTTATTACTGTCATATTTTGGCATTATCAAACTTCAAACATGATATCTTTTCTCAACTTTGACACATGTTGCTCTTATGTAGAGAATAAAAACATAAATACTCATATATTTTAGAATTTTAAAATGTTCCTACTTATATTTTGATATTTTTTTCTAAAGTTCAAGATATTTTCAAAATTCTCAGTGATGTTTTTACTTTAAAAACCCTTTTCATGCATTGATTTATTAAATCAATGACCATTATTACTTTTTACTTCGTATTTTTTTTTATCTAAAAACCCCTTTTCGTCCAACGGTCTAACCCGCCTCATTTCCATCTGTAGTTTGTGTCCTAAATTGCAAAAAAAAAATGCATGAACCTTTTCTTTTAAAATAAAATTGCATGAACTTATTTAGGATGAATTTATTTTGAAAGATTGTGATCGTACCCAGAAGTATGGATGGACTCGGGTCCGGGCCGGGTCCGGGTCGGGCCTAGGCCCGGGCGGGCTGGCGGGTCAGAAATGGTGGACCCGGGACCGGCCCGGGTAACCACCAAGTCCGATCAGGGTCCGGGCCGGGCCTGGCCGGACCGGGCCCATTATATTTTTTTTTGTTTTCCCATCCCCAACCCCCAAACCATCCCAAATGGCCCAAAATACCCAACCCAACCCGAAAATTGAAAAAAAATTGAAAAAAAAAATAGTTTTTAGCCCGAACCGGGCCCGGGCCCGGCCGGGTCGGGCCTTGATTTGGGTGACCCGAGCCCGGACCGGAAAACCCACGGGCCGGGCCTACCCGGACCGGTCACTGACCGGGCCACCGGGTCGGGCTGGGCCGGAGCAGTACCGGTCCCGGGCCGGTTCCGGGTCGGGCCACCCGCCCGAGTCCATCCATACCCAGAAGTGTAGAACTTTTGTAAAAGACCACTTGGAATGCAACGCTATACATATTTTGCTAAATGGCTCACTCTCATTACTCTCATATTTCCAGACTTCCGGTACTAAGGCTTATAAAAAGAAAGTGAATAACCTTGACACTCGTCTATTTATCAATTTTCAATCTATTTGCACATAAAATGTGGGGATCTTTCATATATAAGATATACTTCAACATAGCCTTTTTCTTTTACCAAATTGGTAATTCACCATTTCACCCAATGTCTATATGTACAAATGTATGCTAGGGATGGACCGGGACATGTCTGAACCCGATTCCGGAACCAGCCAGTCCTGTTTTTTTTTAAATGTGAGACCAGAACCAACCCGGTTCCGGTCCGGTCTACCCAGCCGGTCCCGATCCAGACCCGGTTCCGGTTCCGGTCCGATCCCTTTTTAAACAAAATTATTGGAAAAAATTTTAAAAATATTAAAAAATTTGCCCGTTGGGACCGGAACCGGGACCACCCGGTCTAATCCCCAAAATCGAAGCCCGGAACCGGAAACCGAGCCCAGTCCAGTCCCAATCAGTACCGAACCCGGTTCCGGACCAGTCTGGGACCGCCAACTGCGTCCATCCCTAATTGGAGCGAGTTGCGCACTTGCAAGGATTAAAATTCACTGTGTTCAAGAATATTTTCTTTCCTATACTATCATTTTACTAGTCTAGAGTAGTTTAAACTTCACTCATAGTAGAGATGAGAACGAGGTTTGATTCTTCAGCATGCCAATCAAGAATAAAATGCTTTCTTTCTAATTTGCCAAAAAACGAATAGATCACCAATGATTCACTCCATGTGTAAAGGGTGACTTGATGTTGCAATACCATTCCGCTAGTTCCACTCCCAGGTAAATTGGTAAACAGCATATGATCAAACGCTAAAAAATACTTCAATTAATGCGATGCCGTCTAGCATGGACGGCAAGCATTTGGTCATATACCAACATTACCACCTGGGTGCCATATTTCATGTTCCTTGATATAATACTCTCATCATCATGGTGCAGTATCAACACTTCATTAATACCTATTTCATGCCTTTAACAAAAATCAGCTCTGGCATGTGGACTCAACGACAATTTTAGTGGTCCAATTTTCCCAAGGTACCAAGATTTGCAAGAATGTGAGCTTACCTTGGTTTATCCTCGCATCTTCCTTCAAAATCAAGATGAAGTTGACAGTTCACATCATACACACCAGAAAACACTTGCCACAAGCAGAATACATCTGCAGAATCACATGTCTGCCACTAGAGACGAAACTCTTTGGTCCCATAATGGAGATGAGTTGCGGTTGTAAAGGTGAATGCATTGAGCAGAAAGGCCAATGGAGGGCGACTGACAGAGTATTACAAATGGTGAGCTTTTAAATCTATATTCTAAATTTGGATCCTACAAGCAATCTAAAATTTGGTCACTATTGGCCAAAAAAGAATACTTATAAACATAAGATATACTGATATACACATATCCCTATTACTTTTGTGTCAAACGTTTATAAAGAGAACATCTCGGTATTATTGTGAGGTGCTGTTACAAAAAGCTAACCAACCACAAGTGTCAACTTCAGACTCGCTACCCGCATTTTTTTCACACAAATGTATAGCAAATTACAAGCACCTTTACATCCACTTCGAAATAAATGGAATATCCAAACTGCACCAGGCCTCTAACAGTAACCTACTCAATAATACCTGATGTTCATACAACAAATAGGACTTGGCTCCCTGTCCTAGGCATGTCTCTCTGCACCAGGCGGTGCAGTTGGCAGGGGGAAGTCAAAGCTGTAGAATTCTCCATTAGCGAATTGCGGTGTTTCAATGTATGGGCTCTGAGGGAAACATGTTAACACAAAAGAGAAGGAATCATCAAAGAGCGACAAAACGAAACATGAAATAGTGCAACGAGGTTACGAAAAAGTGCAATCATTTGCACTTTGCATGGGAGCAGCTCTTTTTATTTGAACTCTTCCCTACACTCACACACACACACACATATAGTAGCAATCCTGTCAGGACGGTGGAATTTCTTGATGAAAATTTTTGAGCATGTTCTTCATCAAGTCTAGTTTATGCCCACCAAATTTCAGCTAAAATTTCAATCGGGAAGACTGTTAATTAAATTCTTTACAAAAACTGCGCAGTTTATGTATATATAAAGCGCAGTTTTTGTAAAGAATTTATTTAACTGCCTTCCCGATTGAATTTTTAGCTGAAATTTGGTGGGCATAAATTAGACTTAATGAAGAACATGCTCAAAAAAATTCATCAAAAACATCCACCGGGAAGGGCCCAAATGGCCTCGGCCTGACAGCGGTTTTCTTCAGGCCGGCCTGATATGATCTGCCCTATATATATATATATATATATATATATATATATATATATATATATATATATATATATTTGCTTAAATAATAAGCACCAAAGAGAGTTAGTAGTCCTTTTTCCATTGGTTGTTAGAAGGGCATTCACGGTTAGTTTAGTACACCGTAATATTACAGGATTCGTTTTCTATCAAATGAAACGGTACATGTTTTTTATACGTTGGTCCTTATGCAAACGGAAGTAAATTTTCATATCTCAGCAACGTTGAAATAAAATATTTAAACACACCTGCTTTTTACAGAACAATTATATAGAAACATTTATCAATATGCCATGTTGATGCATGCGCCCATTCCAAGTGCCACTCGTAAAGATTTACGGATAATAAACAACCATAATAGCACGAATCTAATAATCCATTACAGATTTGTCATGCCAATATTTTTTTACTTTGTAGATAGAAAAAATATTTCATCACCGCTTGTCAAAAAAATTAAAAGATACTTTGTAAGTTTTTACCAAGTATCATACTCCCTCCATCCCAATTTGATGATCTCATTTCTTTTGGGCACAAGTTTTAATAAAGTGGTTGAAAAGGTAAAAGTTGTGGTTGAGATTTGAGTATAAAAAAGTGAAATGATATGGACCACATCTTTCTTTACAAAAAGGGAAACAGGACCATCATTTTGGGACATCACAAAAAGGAAATACAGGACCATCATTTTGGGACGGAGGTAGTAACATTTTTAGGATCACTTATTCTTATCTGTTAGATGAG